AGTTTAAATTACTACTCGTTTTAGCTGGCTTGTTATACATGGCATAACATACATCAAAGAGGTGAATTAGACGAGATGTGCACGTGACCATTGCCGCTTGCACGTTCTTTAACGATATCGGTATAGCAGCTTTCTTCTTATTCGCTGGTAACGTTTATACCTACACCGACAGATAATTGCATTCTCGATTACACTTTGGAATACCTTTTGTCGAGTAACGTTTAAAAGCATTCTCGATATTATTACGGCGCTAATTAACGATGAAACAATACGCTTCGAAGTATCTATAATGCATCCTAAGAGATACAAAGACAGAGAAAGATAATATACGTATACCTGTGTGTGTGTTGCGAGCAAGCGAGCAAGACGACTGTACCGAAATGAAAGTGGCGTGGGCGAGAGACCGGAGAGAAACACGGTATGCCAGACTCGGTTCGATTAATTTTAGGTGCATGCAAAATTAGGAGGGTTGGTAATTTATGCGCCATAAAGGAATGCACGGCATCGTTTCGACGAATATTACACTTTACGGTCGATACAATGAGAGTTACCAGAGGGAGAAAGAGAGAGAAAGAGAGACACGTATGTGCATATACAATATATTGTATACAACGTATGTATATGTTAGTATACTCGTATGTATTATATATAACTCTATATATATATACGATCATCTCTACATACACATGGATAATAAAATTAGAATGCAGAGTTAGCAAATGCGTATCGACCGTTTCAATCATATCTCATCAACATTTTATATTATCTTTTCGATATAAACGATATTTAATAAGTAATGACGATTAAAATTTATAATGAATATTTCGAAATGATTTCTTACGTTTTAATATGGTTTAAATGCTTAATCAATCTAAGCATTACAACGAATCACATCGATATTATATTCCATCTCTTTTCCAATCATAACCAAAATAATTTAATACTTATTTCAATATAAGAAATATAATCTAAAATGATATTTATGCATACAAAAATCAAATACTTTTCGAAGATACGATTTCGATAATCTTCATCTTATATCGAAATAAAATGATCCCATCCACGTAAATTCTTTTTCTATTCTCGTTTTTCAAAGAAAATCGATACGACCTATACTCTCGCAATATCCATTCGTTTTCTTTTGTTTAACTTTTATTTTTCCCTTATACGGATTTGTTCTCCAAATCTCTCTCTCTCTCTCTTTCTCTCCCACTCTGTCAAGAATCTTCTTACGAAAAACAAAAATAATAAACATTGAACCGATGGTCGTTTTAACGGACAAATCGTTTTAAACACGTCTCTCGTATCTTTTTCCCACTTCTTTTTGGATAGTTGGACAAAATTCTCTCTTTCGCAAAGTAAAAGCCAAGACAATTTTTCTCTTTCTTGTTTTAATATTAAACGTTAAGTGTTAAAAACGAAAAAATACAAACTAGTGGGAGTGGTAGAAAAGGAAAAAGAAACATAACGACAACGTCAAATTTCCCAAGCGTGAATCAACGAGTGCATATGAAACATTTAATGAAACGTACGGGACTCGTACCCTCAACCCTACCCTTATTTCAATCTTTTTCACCATTCTCCTACTTCCTACTCCCCCTATTCTTTATTCCCTAACCTTTTTCTGTGTCTCTCTTGAATTACTTTAAAACTACAACTCCAAACTCGGAAAAGGATATTTACCCAACGGATTACGAAAGAGAGAGAGAGGGAGAGAGAGAGAGAGAGAAAAAGAAATAAAGATAAAGATGGAAATTCGAAAACGTCATTCTCGGCAGAGAGATGTTCGCAAACCGTCAACGAATATTTCCGAAACACTTTTCGTGTTTGCCATGATATTAGCCACGCTAGGACGACCAATGTCTACTTACGTGTAAAACACGAAAGGATTTCCTCGAGGGCGCATTAGTCTCTCGTCCTTGCACGTTAACGCATATATACTTACACATATATACACTAACACGTACGCGGTGGGACGTGTAAATGTTCATATATGTAATATGTAAGTATTTTTACGTATACACGTGGATGGATGGTTACTTGGGTACACTTAACTCCCTTTTCATTTCGCACGTAGCAAAAACGATTTTCTCGAGATGATTCCGAGTTGGGGTTTTCCTCTTTTTTTTTTTTTTT